GTTGCACATCCCTCAATCAACTAGTCACCACGAATGTCACCAAGGAACCCCCTGCTACCCAGAAAATTGTACATCTCTCAATCAACTGTTCACCACGACTGCCACCAAGAAAGTTGTATATCCCTCAATCAACTGTTCACCATGACTGTCACCAAGGAATCCCCTTGGCACCCAGAAAGTTGCACATCCTTTAATCAACTATTCACCAAACAGTTAACAAAGACTGTTTCTTTGTTTGTTTGGTTGAATTCTGCCCAAAGCTACATGATGGATGTCTGTGTTAGTCATCCCTAATTTGGAAGTTATAAACTACTCTTTACCAAAAAATAGTGTGGTTAACTGTTACATAATCCAGAGTAAAGTGGTGGACATGTCCAGGGACAGGATTTGATCCTGCAATATGCAGATTGTGAGTCAGGTCTTTAACCAACAGGAAAAATTCAGAGAGACCTTGTTGTTACGAAGAAAAATAAGTCACATACGTGTGAGAAGAACACAAAATATTTTAAACAGAAAAAAAAACAAAAAAAACGTGATAAACATTCCGGCATCATACAGAGAATTTAAAGAAAGTTTTTGTTAGGCTTTATAGTTGATAAGATTTCTAATATAATAGAAAAGGTAAATTTTAAGTAGTGTCCAAGAAGTGAAAAGTAAACTCTACTTAAAATCAGAACTAAAGAATAGATGAGAGGTGAAATTCCTGTACTGCATGACCAGACTGTTCAGAACGTATAGCTACATTAGCATAAAGTATTAAGTCACATGTTTGTACACCCAGTGTAAAACGATAACCAGCGTTATGCTATCCCTTTCTCTGACATACCCACGAAGTCACCCAAACTGTACACCCAGGGAATTCTTGTGTACTTGTTTGTTTAAACAAGGTTTTAGAAATCAACATTCATGAGCAGTGCATGATCTGGAAAGTTTGTCAAGGCACATGGTCTCGACTAACCTCACCATTCACTAGAGAAGTTACAGTGTCATGTTATAATGTATAATTATGGACATCACTCTAAGCACAATGAAAGTAGTTCCTATAAGTTTCATTAACCATCCATATTGTAATGTAATACACTGCTTCCTATGATTAAACATGTATATTGCTAAGATATGTATAGTTTTAAGTCAAGTTAAAAAAGACTTGTTTATAATTAGCATGTGTGTCTTAAAGAAGAGTGGTAAACTACTATATAATGGTTGTCTAAGGAGTACATCATTTCAGCAAAGTGATATTGATATAGTTTTGTATCTTAACAAAGTGATATTAATATAGTTTTGTATCTTAACAAATTGATATTAATATAGTTTTGTATCTTAACAAAGTGATATTAATATAGTTTTGTATCTTAACAAAGTGATATTAATATAGTTTTGTATTTTAACAAAGTGATATTAATCTAGTTTTGTATCTTAACAAAGTGATATTATTCTAGTTTTGTATCGTGATATTAATATAGTTTTTTATCTTAACAAAGTTATATTAATATCGTTTTTTATCTTAACAAAGTGATATTAATCTAGTTTTTATCTTAACAAAGTGATAATAATATAGTTTTGTATCTTAACAAAGTGATATTAATATCATTTTTGTATCTTAACAAAGTGATATTAATATAGTTTTTTATCTTAATATACCTCTTTGTTCTGAAGTGCTGTTTGCCAACGCCACCTTCGATAGAAAGCCTGGGTAAATTGGCTATGAGTCAATAGGGCATGCAAAGCTTTCCTTAGGGTCAGAAGTCGATCATGAAACCCCCACATTCCTGATATTAAAATAAACTTTTTTATTTATAAAAAATGTTTATTTGTATAAAATATTTAAACGTACTTTTACGACTAGAGTTTCCAAACCCTAAAAAGAATTGAGCATTCCTGTTTTATTCATTTCTGGAGTCTATATGAAATTAATTCACATCTAAATAAATAATTAACTGGTACATTTTACATAATAGGGAAATAATCAATAATCCATCAAATCAATAATTTATTTCAAATGCTTTTAGAAGTGGGTCAAAAAATGACAAAATATTAGCAAAAATAAAAACTGAATATTGGTTCAAATAAACTGGATATTGGTACTAAAAACTGAATATTGGTACAAATACACTGAATATTGGTACAAATAAACTGAATATTGGTAAAAATAACTGAATATTGGTACAAATACACTGAATAATGGTACAAATAAACTGAATGTTGGTAAAAATAACAGAATATTGGTAAAAGTGTGTACAACTATCACAACTTCACTGAACATATATTTCAGGAATCCACAAAATGTTAAACCCGACCTTGACACTTTATAGTAATTTTGTCCCACACATCTTTTATATATATATATTCTAATAGTAACTTGTACTGCAGCATCCACAATATTCCACTCAAGGGGTACACGGAGAACAATTGCACTTTCAATCTTTTCTGAGTTTGTTTACATATTCATGTGAAGCTACTCAAGATACATTCAAATGAACTGAACAGAAAACAGAACAATTCTACCCAGGGATGCAGCATGTAAGAGACAGTTTCCATCCCCGGTAGTTGCAAGAGGCCACAGATGTTGTAAAGTTCCTTGATCAGCCCACCAGTTCAATCTCCCTGTAAAAGTAGATTACCAGAAGCAAGTTGTTATTTTGGAAACAGAAATGTTTTTATAAAAAACTGTTTACTTATCATTTCTTATCATTTTACTTCACGTAAAAAATGTAATCATGAAAGTTAAGGCTTCAAAAGAAAAACTGTTTTTACAACTTTTGAATAGAATATAAGATACAGTGGTGTATTTAATGTTGGTGCAATCGGGGCAACACACCAACGGGCCCCTAAAGTAACGCCAAAAACTTATAAATTTCTATAGCTATGGCTGATCAGTACAGATGGGCCGACCTAATAAAATTGTACAGAGTAGCTTGAAATATTAAAAACACCTCTAATAAGATATATACAACAATATTTACTATGTAACTAATTTAATAAAATCTAGAATATTCATCAAACCTACATGCTTTTCTGTTAGGCAGGATATCCAGTCACATCTCACAGTCAAACTAATGGAAATCACATTTTAGGTAAGAAATATTAAAAAAAGGCATGTGTTATGTGTCTACAGGTAATTTGATATTCTTTTGTAAACCAATGTTTTGACTCAACTTACCACTTTGTTCTAACGAAACTAAAGTGGACGTTTCAATCAAGTCTTTCTCAAGAAACCTGCGGAAGTCTTCTGGGTGTGCCGACAAGTCAGGAAGAGTAAAAGTGCATACTGGTATTTCCAGTGAAGCTTGAGGTGGGTGCTCCTTGCTATTAGCAATCTGGAAGTCTTGAGCAAACTCACTTCTTGCTCGAGACACAAGATTTACATTGTTAGTTGCCCTGGAAATGCCTCTGGCTAGTTTCTTGTCTAGAGAAAGATATTAATGGTTTTTTTTCTCTGACAAGCAATTTCGAACAATTTTTTTTATATAATATTCCAAAAATGTACTTTTAGTTCTTTCAGTATTTCCAAAGAAGAACTGACAAAATATGTGTGTTTTTTTATAGCAAACTCATATTGAGCTATCTGCTGTGTCCACCAGGGGGAATCAAACCACTGATTTGAGTGTTCTAAATCAGAAGACTTACTGCTATCCCACTGGGGGACAACTGACAAAATTAATGTCAAAATCAATGTTTGAATTAGTATTAAACTTGCACCTACACTAACATTGAGTGTTAGTAATAAGTAAAGTACAGGTGTGATTTACCTTGTCAGATTCTGTAGCTTACCTTATTACTAACACTCAATGAATCTGACAAGGTAAATCACACCTGTACTTTCCTTATTACTAACACTCAATGAATCTGACAAGGTAAATCACACCTGTACTTTACTTATTACTAACACTCAATGAATCTGACAAGGTAAATCACACCTGTAGCTTACCTTATTACTAACACTCAATGAATCTGACAAGGTAAATCACACCTGTAGCTTACCTTATTACTAACATTCAATGAATCTGATAAGGTAAATCACACCTGTAGCTTACCTTATTACTAACACTCAGTAAATCTGACAAGTTAAATCACACATGTAGCTTACCTTATTACTACCACTCAATGAATCTGACAAGTTAAATCACACATGTACTTTCCTTATTACTAACACTCAGTAAATCTGACAAGTTAAATCACACATGTAGCTTACCCTATTACTAACATTCAGTGAATCTGACAAGTTAAATCACACATGTAGCTTACCCTATTACTAACACTCAGTAAATCTGACAAGTTAAATCACACATGTAGCTTACCCTATTACTAACACTCATTGAAGTTTACATGATAATTATTTGTATCTATCTTTGAACTTGTTCTCTGAGACATTACTTCATGGGTTTGGATGATATATGAAGAGGTCAAGTGTAAATCCTAAACTATATAATTAAATTAAAAAAAAAGCAGTCCAAAGGAGATCATCATGAAAAACATTGCTTTTGTCAAAATGTTCATTTTGAGTGATTTTAAGTTGTTCAGAAAGGACAGAGAAAAACAATATTTGATGATAAAATCAAAATTAAAGCTCTAGACTTTGTTATAATAGGAAAGTCTGTATTCAAACTTACATGCAACATCTATATCTGTTCCATTTGAACCTTCAGTCTTCGGTTTGCTTGAAGGGCCTGACCCATGCGTTTCTTTAGCAGGCGTTGAACGATCATCACTTGAAAGGTCAGTTACCTTACATGAAGTGTTTTTTGTTAAAGTTTGGGAAATTGTGGCCAAAGGAATGTTTTCTGATGGTACAGGTATTCCCTTCATACAGTAGAAAGCAGAAAGAGCTGCTTGCAAGTCCCATTCGTGAGCTAAATAAAATATATATGATAATAACTGCAAACATACACAAATAATAGCAATATAATTTACAGTTGCTATATAAGTAAATATGTAACAGTGGGGTGCTTGGCTAGACATGCAGATAATATAATAATATAATTTACAGTTGCTATATAAGTAAATATGTAAAAGTGGGGTGCTTGGCTAGACATGCAGATAATATAATAATATAATTTACAGTTTCTATATAAGTCAAATATGTAAAAACTGGGGGTGCTACAACACCCCAGTTCCAACGCCTCTGTTTTTATGAATACAAATAAAACTTGAACAACAAAAGAGACCATGAACTGAATGTAAATGACATTTAAGTCAGTATAATTTTCTCTCGTATACAGGCACAAACAAGTCAACATGAAGTAAGGAGAAGCAATGACAAAATAATGTTCATCAGGATTTGATGGTCTGACTTCACAAGTTTTCAGCCTTTCATAAACGAAATGATGACAATACACTAAAATCATTCTTAATACACAACTTTCTAAATACTGTGTATATATACACCTCCATATTTGGTCATTCACCTGTAAAAAGTTTAAATACTCTGTATATATATACACCTCCATATTTGGTCATTCACCTGTCAAAAGTTTTATCTTTACAGAAATAGTTTGTGAACTAAAACTATCTAAACATTGAAAAAAACCACGAAAATTATTTATTTATCAATATCTATCTCAACATTCTGAGACTTGAAGGTGTGTCAAAATGTTGTTATCCAGCTTATCTTGATACAAACAATCAGACCAGACTATCCACTCAACCTGATACTCTTCATAACTATCAACATCTTACGTAATCCTGATGACGGATGACATAATGTTGTTATCCAGCTTATCTTGATACAAACAATCAGACCAGACTATCCACTCAACCTGCTACTCTTCATAACTATCAACATCTTACGTAATCCTCAAACCTGATGATGGATGACATAATGTTGTTCTCCAGCTAATCTTATCATGGTAGAACCTCTTTTTAAAACTAAACTATGAGACAAGTAATGCTTATGTTATTTTCATTAATTAATCTCCTTATGTTTTCCCTTTGAAACAGAAAATTATTATCTCAAACTTTTTGTCATACATGAAAAATCAACAGAATTAAACCAAATATATCCACCATTAGAACCTTTAAATCATAATGCTTATCATTAGATTACTACTGAGAAATCTCCCTCACCATCTAGAAGGTCCCTGGCTAGTCCTGGCTCGGCCGATGTCCGAGTTATGAACTCTGACAATATTATGTCCATTCCGCATGATGCCCTAAAATAAGAACATATGCTTTAAAAAGTTTATTGTTAAACAACTATTTTTTTTTAAATTTGGTGTAAGACAGTTTATGTCATCATAAATTAAGAAACTCAAGCATTTTAAAAGGTAGACATGTCTTACAGAATACTGAGATCATTTTGTGTTTTTAGTTATTTTTGTGGTTCTATATGTTTTCCAAGTATCACAGTTTCAATAGGCTGAAGTTAATGTGGGCAAGGATGGTGCATGTGTTGAAGAATATGATGAAACTGTAATGTGGCCAAGTGCACTGACATAATGTGTTTTACTTTCTTTAATCTTGTATTTAGTGTGATTAGTAATACTGCATGCACTATGAAAATTAGTAGCAGGGAGGCATTTTTACATTTTTTAAACGAGAGATAGAACTCCCACAAGTTCTGGTTCAAACCTATCGAAATGATTAAAACACTTAGTAACTTTTTTTTTAAAATACCCATTTTCCAGTTCTTGATGCTTAACTATATAATGGAATAATTTTTTTTTTTTCATTTCTCATAGTCCTTGCGGACCGTTGAGCCGATGGCAGAGCAAGATCTGCCATCGTTTCTAAAGCTGTTTACTACGTCAAGGATGCAACCCACTTGACAGCCTTCCCTCTTTGAAAGGATGAGCATGTTTGGTGTGATGGGGAATCGAACCCGCGACCCTCAGATTGCGAGTCGAGCGCCTTAACCACCTGGCCATGCCGGGCCATAATGGAAATTACCCCTTACCCAGAAAAGCTTAAAACTGCATGGGGTTATTTCAAAATATATCCCATAATGCCTCAAGTGAACAGTACACTTCTCAGAATTGCAATACTGGTTTTAAGTTGTCTGTTCATTTAGAGGGATAAGGACAGTGGTTCCTAATTATAAAACATAATAATTTTTATGGCCGTAAAAACAGCTCAAAAAGGCTTAGAAATTCTGATGGCTTAAAAAGTGATACTTCAAAACATTTCATAAAAAATAAGTCATAATACTAAAAAATAAAAAAAATGGACAAAGTGAATTATTCCCACAGACTGATATGTTACACGGAATATTCATGTTCACCCCTGATTAAAGTTGAAACTGGTTTTCTAAAAACAAAAAGATAAATCTAGTAATTCCTTAACAACTATTTCTTGCCCTCTACAATGCTCAAATATTTTACACTGGTTTGTATAACTTTTTTCTTTCTTTATGCTACTAGTTGCTTCTACTTTATAATTTGTATTTCCACCTTAAACAGGTTTCTGATAAAAACAATTATATGAATTCGGCAGTCAACTTCATATATGTTAAGTTTTTAATAAATCTGGCTAACCAAGACATAATTATAATTAATGTTCATTCTCCACTGTAGATTAAAACTGAAACCAAATTACTCAACCTGTACTGGAATAAAGTAACATTTTCTTACTACAAGTACTAGTAACCTATTCAGTAAGGTTAATAAAGCAAGAGAGTTCAGAGGAAAATAACGGTTCAAAACCAGTTAAAGATTAAAACTTTTATCATCCTTTTACACACCAGGAAGTCATGAATTAAACCTTAACATCAATTTCATCCTATTATACAGCTCAAGTTAAAACTGTGTCATGGTATAAAGCATTGTATGGAACTGCAAACAAGAAATAAGGGAATGAACGTTCATTGTCTAATAAACACTTCAGTGGTTTGTAGCCAGTACAACAACAACAAAAGAATATCTTATGGGATGTCAGAAAGTTTTACCTTAAAAAGAGAGGAACAATCAGAGTGAAAATAAGTAATTATATGTATCATTTCCTCTACTGTGACATATGTAATAAATATAATGATCAGTAGCAAAGTTTTACAGAATAACAACTTAACCCTATGAACATGGGTGGGGGTTAAAGTGAGCATCCTTCGACCATTTACGTCGTATTTGATATCCGAGTTATAAACTATTCATTTTACTCCACATTGCTGATACAGCAAAGTTTGTGGTAGAGGAGAGTAAATACCAGATACAGTGTACAGGGATACTGTAGATATACATTACAGAGGTTCTACACGTTACACACGTACAGTATGCAAACTGTATGATGAACTAAAGTATTTGTATTCTTCATATGACATCTCTTAGAACTCCTACTAGTCAGAATCTGACGTCATTAATTCATTGACATATCTTGAGTACAAATAGTTTTATAACACATCTGATTGTTTTTTTGTACAACAGACTTGTACATTTTACTAAAAGTCTGCCACATTTTCATTTTGTGTAGATATACATAGTAAAGTTAGAATTATAGTCAATATTCCTTCTTCAACATGGGTTTGGTAGATAACATATATAGTATTGTTTAAACAATACCTCCACTATTATACTATATAAAATAAGGAAGATTGTTGACATACCCAGTATTGTTTAAACAATACCTCCACTATTATACTATATAAAATAAGGAAGATTGTTGACATACCCAGTATTGTTTAAACAATACCTGCACTATTATACTATATAAAATAAGGAAGGTTGTTGACATATCCAGTATTGTTTAAACAATACCTGCACTATTATACTATATAAAATAAGGAAGGTTGTTAACATACCCAGTATTGTTTAAACAATACCTGCACTATTATACTATATAAAATAAGGAAGGTTGTTGACATACCCAGTATTGTTTAAACTAATAGTGCAGGTATTAACCTTCCTTATTTTATATAGTATTTAAACAATACTGTGTATGTCAACACACTATTATACTATATAAAATAAGGAAGGTTGTTGACATACCCAGTATTGTTTAAACAATACCTACACTATGATGCATCATAAAATGGTGGGGTTGTTTATGTCTAGTATTATTTTATAACATCAGTAAAGTAATGTTACATAAGATAAGTCTGTTTTTATTCAGTTTATAATACCGATACTATATGAATATAAAACAAGAAAGGTATTTTTCACCACTGTGTACACAAATTTTGCACTACAATGTAATATAGTTCAATAGGTGTCAATTTATGTTAAGCAAATACAGTATTTAAAGATATTTAAATACTTCACAAGTAGAAAGTAGCTGATACCACTACTAAGACACACTATGCTCGAAATGTACAGAACATTGTTCATCCTGTAATTTGTATAAAGAGGGCCTCGTCCTGATTACTACTTGTTACCCTCAAGAACTACAGGAAATTCATCAGAAAACATTACTACGAAGTAATAACCTTCACAAATCATACATCAATTTTTTATAGTTCACGTTTTAAAAAACAGGCTTACATGAGCTATACACACAATTTTAACACTTAGCACTGTTTAGGAAAATGTATAAATATATACAATACACACAGTTTTAATGGAATTTTGGAGAATACACAGATATATATATATATATATACACTTAAGCTGAATACATTATACTAAAATTATTTGGGGGTCTCACTATATCTATACAATCCATGCTGCCATGTGTGGTCATACTCTATCTCATTGCTATGCATCCTGACAATAGTCCTGCAGTGTAGTTTCCATTGTAGAAGTCTCCCTTGTAAGAATGTTATGTTCAAAGAACCCCCCTTATCCATGCCCCATACCTTACCTGGTGTAAGAAGATAATGGTCTTATTACACAGAAATCCATAGGTGCTGTGTCTAGTGGCTTGATTGGTACATCTTCATACAGAATAGCATTAATAACTATTTTATTCTTTGGCTGATGGCTGAATGGATATGTGACGGAAACAACTTGTGTCACTTTTCTGTCTAGGACACATGGGTGCCATTGACCTTTGTGTTTGTGGAATTTCACTCATTACAAGACTACACAGTTTACTAACAATGACTGAACTATGGCCTTTTGCAGACCTCTTTCTGGAGAGTTCTGATGTCTTAAGTTGATCTAGATTTCTTTTTTTTTCTCTACAAGTTTTCTGATCTGGACACATCTTTATACAGAAATATATTTTTTCTATGAAATCAGTAAACTATTGTTTGATTATTCAAGATATCTGTGTACAAAAGGTATCATTATCAACTCTATTATTTATATAAACACGAAATATTTACAGGTTATACACGTATATATATATATAATACCATACCTATATAGTATAGGTTTTGATTATATTTACAGTATATAAATTACATATACATATCTACTGATATAAGTATGAAACCAGATATTCTAAACATTTTGGAAAGTATGTAGCAGATACCGTATCTAAAGCTATTATGTACAGTAAATACGATTATTTTATTTGTACGTGTAATTCATATACTGTAAATATAATTGATATATATATATACCAATAGTATGATATACATATAGTTGTGTATATGTACATTATCTATTACATTATTTGTGATTATGTATACATACACACACACACATATATATATAATGTATTATTATTAATTATGAATGACTTGTACAAGTTAAAATCAAATAAATAAATAAAATGGAACGTTAACTAATAATTATTGAAGACATGAACGGCCTCCATTTAACACGACAAGTTTTGACGTACATATTTCCCCACGAGTAACTTGTACAAACAAGAGTACAATATTTACATCAGGTCATTTTACACTCTGTTCTCCAAAAACGGAGAAAAAATAATGAGACCTATTTTCATTGGTCAAACGATACTTCTTACAAACACTGTATCTATTGAAATATCTTATGTGACACTGGTTTTCCGCTGAATGTCTCGTGCTCATCATAATAAAACCAAATGTTCATATAACATTTTAGATATGCTTAAAATCTAAAACGGGGGCATGGGCCGACCCCTTCCACCATTTTGAGCCGTAGTACCCGAAACGTTATGTTTTTAAGATGCAAAATGTGCTCGTGCTTATGCAGTAAATGTCATTTTCGTTAGATGTCGGCTTAATGAGTTTGCTACCAACCAAGTGGAGTCCTCATTGACGGCAGGCCGTAAAAATTAATTAAAAAGGCTGCCAAGCTCGAACAGTTCGTCTGATTGTTTAACTCGGTCTTTGAAGAGTCAACCCTAGTTTTTAGTC